AGAAGATTGGTGCTACTTTTTGGAGTTTAAACAATCTAGATTATTTCATTTCAGTGGATTGGTCATACTTAATGACAGAATAACTGCAGCTAAATAAAAACATTTAGCAACGTAGGTAATTTAGATAGTAGGTGATTGTGAGGAGCTGGAAGGAAAGGAATGCACTGACATTTTGGTTGTGGACAGAAAGCTGAAAACTGTCCAACAGTCAGATGGCATTTTCTGGTGTGTACATTTATCCCACATTTCCGTTTCATAAACTGGTTTCTGTATTGTTTTAAAAACCTGTTTAACTGGGGCAAAGGGAACATGCGTTCAAATGGAGCATGAAGCCTTTTCTCAAACAGGCTTTTAGCTATGTCAAAAACTGTGTTTTGTCTTCCTGTCTCTGCCAGTCCACTGAGATTAAGATGCATTTGCCTTCGGTTCAAATATTTAATTTCATGATTTTCTGAGATGAAGGCTAGACCCTGAAGAATAGCCATTTTAATACTTCACACAGATAACATTTTTTAAGTACAGCGGTACCTTGGGTTACAAACACTTCGGGTTACAAACTCCACTAACCCGGAAGTAGTACCTCGGGTTGAGAACTTTGCCCCAGGATGAGAACAGAAATCGTGCGCCAACAGCGCGCCGGCAGCAGTAAGCCCCATTAGCAAAAGTGCACCTCAGGTTAAGAACGGTTTCGGGTTAAGAACGGACCTCTGGAACGAATTGAGTCTGTAACCCGAGGTACCACTGTAATACAAAAGAGAAAACAGAAGCAATGATCTATTAGGACCCAGATGCACTTCTAGTAGATGCATGGGGCAGTGTGTGTGTGTGTGTGTGTGTGTGTGTGTGTGTGTGTGTGTGTTTGTGTGTGTGTGTGTCCAGTGCTGATCTGCTTGTCTCCTATGAGCTGATGCTCCTCCTGTTGGAAAAGGTGGAGAGGTCCACTTTTCAGGACTAGTGTCATACAGCTGAGGTAGGGGTTGGGGGAAAAGAAGGAAGTCACAGCATGGCATGGATGGGCTAAGTAGGGTGGATCCTGCAGCTGTGCTGAGGTCAGGTGCTCTTCACAGCCTCCTGTCTTCCACCCACAGCTGCCATGACAGCTACAGCTGCATGCCTCACCAACTCCGCAGCAGGAAGGGGTCAAACTTGTCTGCACCGTCCAGAGCAATCTCACTGCAGTTGGTGAGCAGCAGCAGCAAACCTGCTTCACTGCAGGCCCCTTTCTCAACAAGGATGGCAGCAGTGGAAGATGCCACTACTGCCACTGCAGCAGCCACAGCAGTGGCACTTCCCTGTGCTACAGAGTAGCAACATCTACACTTCGGAACTTCCTGCCTATTGACATCAGGTCAGCACCTTCTCTGTATTCCTTTTGGCGCCTGCTTGGAACATTTTTGTTTAGGCAAGGTGGCGCTGTGGTCTAAACCACTGAGCCTCTTGGGCTTGCCGATCAGAAGGTCGGCGGTTTGAATCCCCACGGCAGGGTGAGCTCCCGTTGCTCGGTCCCTGCTCCTGCCAACCTAGCAGTTCAAAAGCACGCCAAAAGTGCAAGTAGATATATAGGTACTGCTCCGGTGGGAAGGTAAACGGCGTCTCCGTGCACTGCTCTGGTTTCGCCAGAAGCGGCTTAGTCATGCTGGCCACATGACCCGGAAAAACTGTCTGCAGACAAACACCAGCTCCCTCGGCCTTTAAAAGCAAGATGAACTCCACAACCCCAGAGTCGTCTGCGACTGGACTTAACTGTCAGGGGTCCTTTACCTTTACCTTTTATAGAGACATGTATTAATCTCTTTTTAGTTTACTGCTGATTTTGTTTTAAAATGTTCTTCATTATTTGTTTTTAACTGTTTTCCTGACAATTTAATATTTCTTGTAAACTGCTTGGAGGTTTTGTTACAATCAAGTGGTGTATACATTTTGCTAAATAAACAGGCATGTTCCAAGTAACAGCCTGTAAAAGGTTAGTGGTTGACAGTTCAATGAACTGTGTATTTGTATATGAATTTATGACAGTTCAGGGAACTCTGTATGAGTTCAATGGGACTTACTTCCTGCACTTAAGAGAAATTACACCGCAGCCTAAAAGGGTAAATGCCACAAGGTTGTTGCGGTAACGTCCGTGCAACATGAAACAAGTTCACTTGAGATACTTCATTCACAAATAGCAATGCAAATAACTTTGCACTCATATTTTTCTACAAGGTTAGCTATTTCAGAGTGTCATTTCTTATGTGATTCATTAATTTATGAATCACTTCCCATAAAACACCCCAGGATGATTTACAATAAAATCATCTGCAATGAAAATATTTTAAAAAATACAATAAAGAAAAAAGGCTGGGATATAAATCTTCTTAAAAGTCTTGTTGGAAGAGGAAGGTCTTCAGTGAGCACCAAAAAGATAAAAGAGACAGCATCTGTCTGATGTGCAGCAAGAGGGAGTCCCAAAGGGCAGGTGCCGCCACATTGAAGGCCTGATTCGTACATCATAGAGCTCTTGTTGTGGCAATACCTGTAAGAAGCTACAGCTCAGTTGGATATACAATGGCTGAAACAATATTTTAGGTATTCTGTTCCCAAGTTGCCCAGGGCTTTGCACACCACTACCAATCCCCTGAATGCAGCAAAGTAGCTAACCAGCACAACTCAGATTCTTTCAGCAGAGGCTGGCATTGTATCCCAGTAAAACCAGTGATTAAGCAAAGGCAAGGCGCCTATATCTCATCCTCCTAATACTTCAGGGTAATGAAAAAGGTTTGTACAATATTATTATTAATTACCCACACTTCATCCTGCAGTGCCAGGATGGGTTAGTAGTAGTAGTAGTAGTAGTATTGCCTACTCTTCATCCTGCAGTGCCAGGGCAGATTAAAGCATTGCTGTTGTTTAGTCATTTAGTTGTGTCCGACTCTTCGTGACCCCATGGACCAGAGCACGCCAGGCACTCCTGTCTTCCACTGCCTCCTGCAGCTTGGTCAAACTCATGTTCGTAGCTTCAAGAACACTGTCCCACCATCTCGTCCTCTGTCATCCCCTTCTCCTTGTGCCCTCAATCTTCCCCAACATCAGGGTCTTTTCCGGGGAGTCTTTTCTTCTCATGAGGCAGCCAAAGTATTGGAGCCTCAGCTTCACGATCTATCCTTCCAGTGAGCACTCAGGGCTGATTTCCTTAAGAATGGAGAGGTTTGATCTTCTTGCAGTCCATGGGACTCTCAAGAGTCTCCTCCAGACCATAATTCAAAAGCATCAATTCTTCGGCGATCAGCCTTCTTTATGGTCCAGCTCTCACTTCCGTACATCACTACTGGGAAAACCATAGCTTTAACTATACAGACCTTTGATGGCAAGGTGGTGTCTCTACTTCTCAAGATGCTGTCTAGGTTTGTCATTGCTTTTCTCCCAAGAAGCAGGCGTCTTTTAATTTCGTGACTGCTGTCACCATCTGTAAAGTCTATCACTGCCTCCATTTCTTCCCCTTCTATTTGCCAGGAGGTGATGGAACCAGTAGCCATGATAATAGCTTTTTTTGATGTTGAACTTCAGACCATATTTTGTGCTCTCCTCTTTAAAAGGTTCTTTAATTCCTCCTCACTTTCTGCCATCAAGGTTGTGTCATCTGCACATCTGAGGTTGTTCATATTTCTTCCGGTAATCTTAATTCTGGCTTGGGATTCATCCAGCCCAGCCTTTCGCATGATGAATTCTGCATATAAGTTAAATAAACAGGGAGACAATATACAGCCTTGTCGTACTCCTTTCCCAATTTTGAACCAATCAGTTGTTCCATATCCAGTTCTAACTGTAGCTTCTTGTCCCACATAGAGATTTCTCAGGTGACAGATGAGGTGATCAGGCACTCTCATTTCATTAAGAACTTGCCATAGTTTGCTGTGGTCAAAGGCTTTTGCATAGTCAATGAAGCAGAAGTAGATGTTTTCTGGAACTCTCTAGCTTTCTCCATAATCTAGCGCATGTTTGCAATTTTGGTCTCTGGTTCCTCTGCCCCTTCGAAATCCAGCTTGCACTTCTGGAAGTTCTTGGTCCACATACTGCTTAAGCCTGCCTTGTAGAATTTTAAGCATAACCTTGCTAGCGTGTGAAATGAGTGCAACTGTGCGGTAGTTGGAGCATTCTTTGGCACTGCCCTTCTTTGGGATTGTGGTGTAGACTGATCCTTCACGGTTCACTGCCTTGCCGTGGCGAAGGGACTTGAATAACTCAGAGAAGCTATGAGCCAAGCCGTGCAGGGCCACCCAAGACGGACAGGTTATAGTGGAGAGTTTTGACCAAACGTGATCCTCCTGGAGGAGAAACCAGCAAGCCACTCCAGTATCCCTGCCAAGAAAGCTCCATGGACAAAGACAGCAGGCATATTAAAGCATTAGAAACCAGTATTAAAAACAGCTTATATAGCTCAGTGTATAAAATGACTTTTTTTTAAATCGGAAGAAAAATGCCAACCTAGCACTTTGAAAGCACGTCAAAGTGCAAGTAGATAAATAGGTACCGTTCCGGCAGGAAGGTAAACGGCGTTTCTGTGTGCTGCTCTGGTTCGCCAGAAGCGGCTTAGTCATGCTGGCCACATGACCCGGAAGCTGTACGCCGGCTCCCTCGGCCAATAAAGTGAGATGAGCGCCACAATTCCAGAGTCGGCCATGACTGGACCTAATGGTCAGGGGTCCCTTTACCCTTTAACCTAAATTACAGCTGACAATATCGGGTTTTTTTCACAAGAAAAGCAATTACATTTATTACTAAAAGGAAAAGGGAAAAATGAAGTTTCAAATCCGCAATAACAACCAATAACAAGCGTGTACCAGGCGTGGCCCAAGCACATCCCATCCTCACGCCCCGCCCACCCCCACCCCCGCTTTGGATACCAAAATGGCGGCACTTCAACGCCTTTCGCTTTTTCCCGCCACAGGAGGCGGGGCGGGCGAGGAAGAAAGCGGCCTCCCCCCACTCCCCGCGCGCGCTCTCGCGCCAGCCAATGAGACCTGGAAGCGGAAGCCGTCGGAGGGCTGCCAAGATGGCTGCGTCCATGTCGCTGCTCTCCGGCTGCAGGCGGCTGGTGTCTGGGTTCTTGTGGGGAGGCTGGGCTCGCGCCCCGTCTCGCGGATTGAGGCAGGGTGAGTGCCAACGGCTCCTGCTCGCTCTCTCCCGGCTGCAGCGGGGAGGGGAGCCGAGGGGCTGAGGTAGGGAGACGGCGAGAGAGGCGCCTTCCCGTCAGCTGGATGGCCGGAGCCGGCTCGTTTTCCGGTAACCGCCGAGGAGGGGAAGAGTGAACAACTTGCGCCGCGGTGTCCCGTCCCCCCCCACCACCACCATCCCTCTCGCTCAGGTCGGGGCTACGAGGCCGGCTGGGAGTATAATAACACGACAATAATAAAGGACAGTTACTTGGTTAGTCATCCTTTCGGAGGAGGTGGCCAAGGTCCCTTGCCAGGTAGCAGGCGCTAAGGCTTGAAGGGGCAGCTTCTTCGGGCAAGCCTCCTTTGAACGTGGAAGGGGCAGAGCGAGGTTCTACCTGTACCGTGCCGCTCTGTGCATGTTTGCTTGGAAGTAAGCCACCCCCCCCCCGTTTAAGTTCATAGAATTGTAGAGTTGGAGGAGGGACCACAAGGGTCATTTAGTCCAGCCCCCTGCAATGCATGAATCTTGCGCAACCTGGGGCTCGAACCCACAACCCTGAGATTAGGTTTCTCATGATCTGGGTCTTACTCCCAGGTGGGTGCATTGGATGGCAGCTTATAGTCAAGCATCCTGTTTTTAGTTTATCAACTCGGAATCCTTTCAGAGTCCCCAAATTCTAGTTTGCTGTTCAGAATTATTGTGTTCTGCAGCCCTCATCTTTATCACAAGCACCAGTGACTCCAGGTAGATCATTTGTTAGTCTAGTGTTCCCCTTTTTGTATCATTTTCTGCTCTTTGCTTTGGGGGGGTTGGAAACACCATTATTCATCACTCCAGGTTTCATTTCAGGCTTATTCACCAGTTATGCCAAATACAGGTACAAACTGTCCACACATCTACAGGTATTTGTGTGAAAAAATGTACACTTGTTGATTTCTATAGTTCAACTATTATGTGTGCAAGACTGTATGCTTCTTGTATACAGATTGCACATTTGTTGATTGTAGTGTGTATAGTATAATCCTCTCTGCCTAGAATGAGACAGAGGCAAGGGAGTCCCATTCTTCGCTGCTATGGGGCAGTTGCCGATGGTGCAATCAGAACTCTGTCTCTAGTTGGGGCAACAGCTAAACAGAAGCAAAATAACCCTTCTCCAGCACATGGTATCTCTCAGGAACTTGTTGGTCGCAGCAGGAACTATTACTATGTTGCACTGAGCAACACTGAATTCTTGTGTTCAAGAGTGCCAAGAGTCCTGTAAAAGAATAAAAGGCATATGAGAATTCTGTCACGTCTGTTAATGCTGGTTACCTGGTAGTAAGGCTTTCTAGCCTTGAATGAGAAATTTAGAGCCAGAGACATGGTGGATTTGAGGGTGGGCTCCAGCATTTATTTTTATGGTGGGTCTATAAATGTAATGTAATACAGAACTGTCTATTTAGTTAAAAGTGTACACCTTTTCTAAAAAGAAAATAAACAAAACAAGTGAGATAAAAGCAGCCTTGACCCTTACTTTTTGGCAATTAGCCTGGAAAAGTTGAAAGAATAATGAACTTGTTTTTCCCCCTGGTTAATAAGCAACCACACCTGCCAGATGATCTGGGAATCTCACAAGCAAGACTTAAAGGCAATAGCTCTCCCACCACCAGAATTATTTGTCCCAGCTTCTGGTATTCAGTTGATTCTTGCCTCTAAACCTGGAGGTTCTGTTTTAATATTGTGGCTATACTTAAAACTTGCATGACAAGCAACAGATTCCAAAAGGCCCTGAACAACCCAGCACTGTGAGGATACAGTGGTTATGGAAAAGAGCTGTTGCATTGCTGACATCACATCTACCATGCAGGCTCAAATATGAGCACTCAGTTAGTGTTCAGTCAGATTCCCAGTGAATCTCTTCCTGCTTGCACTATAGATACCTTCCTATTTGATTCAGTGTCCTCAACTCCCAGAACCTTAACAAGTTGACATGGATCTGCTCAGCAGAAAATGGCACTTAGGTGTGATTGTGTCAGCTCCTGGCCCAAGTCACCTCCACTTTCCACAGAGTGACCAAAGCATTGACAGGAAAGTCAGTTATGCCAACAGAAAATACAGAAGCATCCTTGAGAATTATGTTTATTTCATTAGCCTTTTGGAGTGGGTCACCAACTCCCTCATCCCTGCAGAGGGGAGTAGCTACTGTGAGTGAACCTTGACAGGAAGTGGTCCAAGCAAGACCAGGAAAGTTAGAATAAAAAGGTTAGGAAAAGCTAGGATATCTAGCAGTCAAGAGCACACAAACCATATCCGAAAAAGGCTCCAACTCTAGTATTAGGTTGCTTTTAGCTTCCTTGTCAGGGAGTATTTAGGGAGTTATGCAGTAGAAGGTCCTCTGAAAGGAAGAGGTATGGCCCTCTGATATTCGAGAGAGCACAAATACTAATGCTATCTCTGTGGCCCAAAGCCTTACAGAGGGACAACAGGGCTAGGCTGCTTTTTGCCATAAGCAGTTCTGAAATGGTTCCCGGTGAGAAGTTATAATGCATATGAAAATGTTATTTCAATAATCTGTAAAACAAGGCAGAATAATCCCTCAGTACAGGCTAGCGTTATTCTTTATTGCACCATCCTTAAGAGTTAATAAGGTTTTCTGTAGTTTTTGGGAGCAGTATTAGAGAGATGATTTTATGATGGCAGACAGTAAAAACAAATACTTAATGTCATCAGTCTCTACCTGCACTAAGTGAAATACCTTTATCTCAGTTTTAGTGAAATGCTTATTTGCTGTCAGTGTCATAGCAGTTTTTTAACAGCATTCCTCTCAGTGTTTCATAGGCACAATTTCTGTACTGAACAAGAATGCATATAATTGTATTTGAATGAATCTGACAGCCTGTCTTTTTTCCTGTACCTGCAGTTGTAGAAACTACTGAAGGAAACACCACTATTGTAAGTACAATAACTGACTTATTTTTTAAGTCTCAAATCCTTGTCTTTGTAATGCAGCAACTGTGTTTGTACAGAAAAATGCAACTGAATAATTTCCATCATGTAACCAATGTAAGCTTAGGCCTCTTTTCTTGAATACAGTGATTCTCCTGAAGAGAATAAACAGGTGACCTTTTCATCTCCTGAACCCTATTCAAAATTTTCTAGTGCCCATTGCATCAGTGAAAGAAATTTGTGAGAAATTAGAGGTGTATGCAGAGGTTAGGAATGCCTGCAGTTATGCATACTCAAAAGAGCCCAAAGTTACCATAACAGTACGTGGAAGCTGCTGCTTCAGCTTTTTGACTTCATGGTGCAGGAAGAAGTCATGCTGCAGTGGCTCCCACACCATGAAGTAATATGAGAAGGGTTTAAGAAATCTCTCCATTCATTGATATTTTTGAAACTTTTCTTTTTATTCTGAATGGAAATTAAGCACGCACAATATAGTGTCTATATGTGCCCATATAAGTCTTACTGTGCTTTAATTTATTGGAATTTCCTTTTAATTTTTTTCCCAAAGGGACAAGTAGCACCTGACTTGAACATCAACCAAATGTACTATGAATAAAAGCCAAAAAATAGGAGTTTAGTTTAATAAGCACAGTGGCATAGAATTTTTAATTCTGAAAGCTATATGAGACTATAAATATGGTATTCACTAGGCTGAGCCTTACTGCTTAATAAACACTGTCTTGGAAGAGTGAACAAGTGTGTTAGAAGGCCTACCATAGTGACTATTAGTAGGAGAAATATTAATAACAAAAGCAAAAGCCTTATCCCCAGCGTTGCTCAGGAATTGTAACAAACAAACAAATTAGTGTAGCTTTGAAAGTTTTAGTCCATTATCTAAAACCATTATCTAAAATTAGTCCATTTCATAGAATCATTCTATGATTCTATGATCTTGATTCAAAATGGCATTCAGTTGTATCCAAACATAGGTGAAAACCTGCTTCTTGATTTCAGGAACCTTAATGCAAAATGTGGTTACGATACCTTCAGAGGTGTACAAATGCATAGCAAACAAATAGACAACTTTCCAAAATATGTAGAATCATAGAATCATAGAGTTGGAAGAGACCACAAGGGCCATCGAGTCCAACCCCCTGCCAAGCAGGAAACACCATCAGAGCACTCCTGACATATGGCTGTCAAGCCTCTGCTTAAAGACCTCCAAAGAAGGAGACTCCACCACACTCCTTGGCAGCAAATTCCACTGTCGAACAGCTCTTACTGTCAGGAAGTTCTTCCTAATGTTTAGGTGGAATCTTCTTTCTTGTAGTTTGGATCCATTGCTCCGTGTCCGCTTCTCTGGAGCAGCAGAAAACAACCTTTCTCCCTCCTCTATGTGACATCCTTTTATATATTTGAACATGGCTATCATATCACCCCTTAACCTCCTCTTCTCCAGGCTAAACATGCCCAGCTCCCTTAGCCATACCTCATAAGGCATCGTTTCCAGACCTTTGACCATTTTGGTTGCCCTCCTCTGGACACGTTCCAGTTTGTCAGTGTAGTAGGTTACCAAGTTGTATTTTACTTCTCCCCCAAAATGTGCCCAAAGCTCACAAAATGAATTACATACTAGTGCTGTGGCCTCTCTTCCTAGTCCCCTCTTCTATTTCATTTCTTCATCTGGTCTCACCCCAGATCTCCTTCCAAAAGTTAAATACCAGGTTATCCCTACAGTGATTATGTTGCCCAAAGTATGTTATATCTACAGATTATTTTTACTCCTCTGGCAGTATTTATTATCTGGTTGGAATTTGAATGGGTCCACCAGATGTTTGTCATGATTAGGCCCCAAGAAAGCAATGGAATGGAGCTTGGTTTGGTTCCATTGCTTTCAAGGGACTAAGTCAGAGCAAATGTTTGCTGAATTGTGGCTTTTATTATTAAATATAAAGATACTAATAGGAGAATACAGTCTTCTAGCATTAGCATACCACAGCCTTGAGAGTTCTTTAGGCATCAGGAAAACCTCCTTTTATTT